TAACAATAAAAGAGATTGAAGCTGTTATCAGAAGACTCCCAACAAAGGAAAGCCCAGGATCAGTCAGGTTTCCTGCAGAGTTCTACCAAACCTTCAAAGAGAAATTGATACCAATTCTCTACAAACTATTCCAAAAGATTGAAACAGAGGCCGTTCTCCCAAACTCATTCTATGAAGCAAACATCACCCTGATACCAAAACCAGACAAAGATACATCAAAAATAGAAAACTATACGCCAATATCCTTGATGAATATAGACACAAAAATCCTCAATAAAATACTTACTAACAGAATACAGCAATACATACACAAAATTATATACTATGATCAAGTGGGATTCATCCCAGGGATGCAAGGTTGGTTCAACATATGCAAATCAATAAATGCGATACACCACATCAATAAGAGCAAAGACAAAAACCATATGATCATCTCTATCGATGCTGAAAAAGCATTTGACGAAATTCAACATTCATTCATAATAAAGACTTTCTAGGGCCGGCCCGGTGGCGCACTGGAGAGTGCGCCGCTCGGGAGCGCGGCGGCGCTCCCGCCAAGGGTTCAGATCCCATGTGGAGACCAGTTCCCGCTCACTGGCTGAGCATGGTACGGGCGCAACACCGAGGGTTGCGATCCCGTTGCTGGTTCCCGGTACGGGCGCGACACCGAGGGTTGCGATCCCGTTACCGGTCAGTAAAAAAGACAAAAAAAAGGAAAAAAATAAAAAAATAAAAAAATAAAAATAAATTTAAAAAATTAAAATTAAAATTAAAAAAAAAAAAGACTTTCTACAAGTTAGGTACAGATGGAAAGCATCTCAACACAATTAAAGCCACATATGATAAGTCCACTGCCAATACCATCCTTAGGAACAGGAACTAGACAAGGATACCCATTCTCATGACTCCTATTCAGCATAGTGCTGGAAGTATTAGCCAGAGCAATCAGAGAAGAGAAGGAAATAAAGGGCATCCAGATTGGAAAAGATGAAGTCAAACTATCCCTGTTTGCAGATGATATGATCCTATATATTGAACAGCCTAAAGCCTTTACAAAAAAACTCTTAGAGTTGATAAATGATTTCAGCAAAGTTGCAGGAAACAAAATCAACACACAAAAATCAGTAGCATTTCTATACTCCAACAGTGAACTTGCAGAAAAAGAAATCAAGAAAGCTAGCCCATTTACAATAGCCACCAAAAAAATAAAATACTTAGGAATAAAGTTAACCAAGGATGTGAAAAATCTCTACAATAAGAACTGCAAACCACTGTTGAGAGAAATTAAAGAGGACAAAAAAAGATGGAAAGATATCCTATGCTCTTGGATCGGAAGAATTAACACTGTCGGAAGAATTAACACTGTGAAAATGTCCATATTACCCAAAGTGATCTACAGATTCAATGCAATCCCAATCAAAATTCCAACGACATTTTTCTCAGAAATGGTAAAAAGTATCCAGACATTTATATCGAATAACAAAAGACCACGAATAGCCAAAGCAATCCTGAGCAAAAAAAATAAAGCTAGATGTATTACATTATCTGACTTTAAACTATACTACAAAGCTATAATAACCAAAACAACATGGTACTGGCATAAAAATAGCCATACGGATCAATGAAATAGAATAGAGAACACAGAAATCTCCCATACACCTACAGCCATCTGATCTTTGACAAAGGCACCAAGTCTACACACTACACCTACAGCCATCTGATCTTTGACAAAGGCACCAAGTCTACACACTGGGGAAGAGACTGCCTCTGCACAATTGATGCTGGGAAAACTGGATATTCATATGTAAGAGAATGAAACTAGACCCATACCTCTCACCATATACCAAAATCAACTCAAAATGGATTAAAGAATTAAGTATACATCCTGAAACAATAAAACTCTTATAGAAAACATAGGGGAAACACTTCAGGAAGTAGGAGTGGGTACGGACTTCATGAATATGACCCCAAAAGCACAGGCAACCAAAGGAAAAATAAACAAATGGGATTACATCAAACTAAAAAGTTTCTGCATACCAAAGAAACAATTAACAGAGCAAAAAGACAACCAACAGAGTGGGAGAAAATATTTGTAAAATATACATCTGACAAAGGATTAATATCCAGAATATACAAGAAACTCAAACACCTTTACAGCAAAAAACAAGTAACCCAATTAAAAAATGGGCAAAGGAGCTGAATAGGCATTTCTTAAAGGAAGATATACAAATGGCCAACAGACACATAAAAAATGCTCAACATCACTCAGCATTTGGGAAATGCAAATCAAAACCACACTGAGATACCATCTTACTCCAGTCAGGATGGCTAATATCCAAAGGACTGAGAATAATAAATGCTGTCAAGGTTGCAAAGAAAAAGGAACTCTCATACACTGGTGATGGGACTGCAAACTGGTGCAGCCTTTATGGAAAATGGTATGGAGGTTCTTCAAACAATTACAGATTGGGCCGAGCCGAGCCCGTGGCGCACTCGGGAGAGTGCGGAGCTTGGAGCGCGGCAGCACTCCCACCGCGGGTTCGGATCCTATATAGGGATGACCAGTGTGCTCACAGCGCTCACTGGCTGAGCGCGGTGCGGCCGGTCTCAAAAAGGACAAAAAAAAAAAAAAAAAACAATTACAGATAGATCTACTATATGACCCAGCTATTCCACTGCTGGGAATATACCCAGAGGAATGGAAATCATAATGCTGAAGGGATACCTGTACTCCCATGTTTATTGCAGGACTATTTACAATAGCCAAGAGTTGGAACCAGCCCAAATGTCCATCATCAGATGAGTGGATAAGGAAACTGTGGTATATCTACACAATGGAATACTACTCTGCTATAAAAAAAGAATGAAATACTGCCATTTGCAACAACCTGGATGGACTTAGAGAAAATTATAGTAAGTGAAACAAGTCAGGCACAGAAAAAGAAATACCACATGTTCTCACTTAGTTGTGGGAGCTAAAAATAAATAAATATACAAACAAACAAAGGGGGAAGAAGACACAACAATCACAACAATTCCTTGAACTCGTTAAGGCAAGTGGACAGATTTGATGTGGGGGGGAGGAAAAAGGGGGACAGAGAAACAGGTAAAGAAAGGGACATGAAAATCAACTACAATGTATATTGAGAAGTTAAAATAAAAAAATAAATTTTTCCAAGTGCTTTTTTATCCATATAGTATCCTCAAGGCATATGCAATGTGAATGTTGCAATTTCCATTTTACAGATAAATAATTTGAGGCAAAATGATTTCCCAAAGTAAGCATATATTCTCAACCAGTGAAAGTTGGTTCCTGGGGGTGGGGACTGGAGGATGGGAGTGAAAAAATCTTACATATTACAATGGTTTGTGGCCCTCCAAAGGGCCACAGTATATAAACAGATATACAGTATATATTAGTGGTATTAAAATTTCATTGGAGGACTGTGATCAGGAAAAAATGTCTCAAAAGTCTCTTTACAGGGCAGATTTTAAAAAAAAGGTTGAGAAATATTGCATTAGTGGTAGAACAAAGAAAAAAGCCAGAACTTCTAAGAATCCCAGCCTGGTATTAATTCCATTAACTTACTTCTATGATTTTAGATCTCTAAATTGTTAATGTAAAAGTGACCATATTTTCTAGAGCAGTATTGATTTCAAATTATTTTTTTCTTAACATTGATTTAATATACAACTACATAATTTCATCTGTTTGCCTCCAGATCTTGTACTATCTAACCCCAATCACATGATTACACTCATCCCCACAAAATTTTAAATCTCCCCTAATCTTCTACTCTTTCCCCAACTTCCTAACTTTCCTATTATTGGGCCATTGATAAGTTCCAGTCTCTCATCAGCAAAACACCCAATATCCTCAATGTCTCTATTCCTTTCATCTTCTTGCTCTAATGACAATGTGAAAACATGGCTATCCTTTGTCCTCAAGGGATATGGTAGCCTTCTGGAGGTTTTTTTTTTTCTCTTTTACATGAGCATATTACAGACCCTAGACATTTAACAGCAATGGGGAAAAAGGAAAACATCTGTTTGAGCTTTGTTTTCTATTACTTTTGCTTAGAAGTATTTTACCCTAGATTTTTTTTTTCCCTTTTTGTCTTTTTTTTACTGACCCGGTAACGGGATCGCAACCCTCGGTGTCGCGCCCGTACCGGGGACCGGGATCGCAACCCTCGGTGTTGCGCCCGCTCCGTGCTCAGCCAGTGAGCGGGAACCGGTCTCCACATGGGATCTGAACCCTCGGCGGGAGCACCACGGCACTCCCAAGCAGCACACTCTCCAGTGCGCCACCAGGCCGGCCCTTACCCTAGATTTTTGCTGGCTTGCTTTTATGTATCATTCAGATGTTTACTCAAATCTATGCAAAACCCTCCCTGACTACCTTATCTAAAGTAGTACTTCTTTTTTGTAAGGGGATCTTAACCCTTGACTTGGTGTTGTCAGCACCATGCTCTCCCAAGTGAGCTAACCAGCCATCCCTACATAGGGATCCGAACCCCGTGTCCTTGGTGTTATCAGCACCACACTCTCCCGAGTGAGCCACGGGCCGGCCCCATAGTACTACTACTTCTATCACCACCTTCTTACCCTGCTTTATTTCCTTCATAGCACATAAATAAAGCAGGAAAGCAGAATAAAAATAAGATTTAAAAAGTCCGTAGAAAAGAGATAAAGGAAAATATTATAATGTCCTTATAGCAGTTATCTTTAAAGACTGAAATATGAGAGACTTTTAAAAGATATACCTTCTGATACCTTCTAATTTTTCTACAATGGGTAGAATGAAGTTACCTTTAAAGACGGAATCAGGGTGATAGAAATTAAAAACACCAGGTATAATACAGGAATGATGGGACTGTCAACACTAATTTCTCCCACTTCCACAGAGCCCAGGCTGAGATCTCACTGGGTGTGGAACTTCAGGAGACAGGGATATGGAGGCCACTTCCTGCTTAAGGCTGTTTGGCCCTTGGCCCTACCTCACGACACACAGCTGCAATCTGGCCTTCATCCATGCAGGTTTCCGTCACCACGTCTGTCAGGGAGCCTCCAGCCAAGTATTCCATGACAACCCACAGCTCATCTCCCACCAGGTAACTGCAGGAGTACAGATAAAGGGAGAGAAGGAACAGTCAGAGTATATCGAGCCACAGCAATGGATATATACTGTAAAACTGCATCTCAAGATCTCTGGAAGACTCTATGGTTCTTTACTTGGGGAAAAGCAGAATCTGAGGGAAAGAATTATCACTTTAAATCTCTTATGGATGCTCCTGGAAAAAACAAAGCATACATGTTCTGTGAAACTCCAAAGGGCAGAACTAAGATCACTAGGTTGAATATACAATAAAATTATATTTCATCACAACACAAAGGAATACTTCCTAAAATTAGAAAGACTGGCATGAATGCCATACTTCTAGAAGCATTCAAGCAGGAAGCATGCAAACATTTGACAATGATGAGATGTGGAGTCCATGTTACCAACATTAGGGAGAGCCAGTAAACCTCCCTGAGAGTTCTACTAGATCTGAGATCCATGACACAAAGTACTGGGTCTTGTTCAAGATTCTATCCCCAGAGTCCAGCATAGCAGATGCCAATATTTACTGAATAAACCAGTGAACAAAATGAAAGGTAACTGTAAATATTAAATCAAATAATTTAAAAAGTCCTTTAAAAGGTGTAAAGTATAATATACATAGTCATTATGCTGACAGTGAGCTCAACTTTGAGTGTCTATGATTCTGAGAATGGAATAAATTTAGCAAGGGCTACAAAGCCACGTCTCTTCTGGTAAGCCAAGTCTACCATTTAGTAATGTATCCCTGCACATGAGGTAGAACTGAATTTCAACTCATGGTTGGATCACTTATCCCTGTTATGTGATAAATAAAAAGGTCACTTAGCCTGTCTGGTCAATGTTTCCTCACCTGGAGAATAGGACAAATAAAAATAAGCCTAGCCCAGAACCCTTGGACAAAGAAGCTAGATTGGAAAAAACATTTCTTGGGTTGACTTGAGCTATGTCGTATGTTATCTTATCTTTATCCTGGTACTGGTGCTACTGCTGGGCAGACAGGGAGACTGTTAAAAATTTTAACAAATGGTCTCAAGCAAAGGGTACAATTTGAATCCTATTCTCTTGACTATTTAGTATTCTTTCCACAAAACTGTGCATTCTTTGCAAATAAGTTTTATAATTTTTTAATGTCCACGAAGAATAAAAATAGCAGACTTTTTCTTCAACAATCTCTTTTTGAGAGAGAAGACTATGGTGATTTGGATTGTTATGGTCTGAATGTCTGTGTCCCCCCAAAGTCGTATGTTGAAAATCTAATCATCAATGTGATAGTATTAGGAGGTGAGGGCCTTTGTGAGGTGATTAAATCATGAGGGAAGAGCCTCCATTAATGGAATTAGAGCCCTTATGAAAGAAAAGAGACCCCAGTTTCCACTGAAAGCTCTGGAAGGGAGAGAAGAAGGCAGGAGGCAGGCAAGCACACAGGAAGACAGAAAGAAGCCCTAGAGAGCTGCCTTGCCCCTTCCACCATGTAAAGACACAGCAAGAAGGCACCATTTATGGACCAGAAAGCAGGCCCTCATCAGACACAAAACCTGACAGCACTTTGATTTGGGGCTTCCTGGCATTCAGAACTATAAGAAATAAATTTGTGTTGTTTATAAGCTACCCAGCCTCTGGAATTTTGTTACAGCAGCTCAAATGGATTAAGATATGGACTGTGAAGGCTAATTCTAGATGTCAACTTGGTTAGATGAAGGAATGCTGAGAAACCTGGTAAAGCAATCTTTTCAGGTGTGTCCATGAGGGTGTTTCTAGCAGAGATTAGTATGAGAGTCTGAGTAGCCTGGGTTTGAAAGACCCACCCTCAGTGTGGGTGGGAACCATCCAATCCACTGGGGGTCCGGAGAGAACAAAAGACAGAGGAAAGAGGTGAAGCTCTTTCTCTCTCGATCTGCTGGACCTGGGATACACTCTTCTCTCCTGTCCATGGACATCATAGCTGAGACTCTTCAGCTTTTGGGTTCCAGAACTTACACCAAGGACACCATCAGCTTCCCTCCTTCTGAGGCCTTTGGACTTGGACTGAGCCACGCTACCAGCATCTAGTTTATAGACGGCCTACTGTGGGACTTTTCTTCATAGCCATATGAACTAATTCCCCTAATAAATCCCTCTCATATAATTATAACATATCCTGTCTCTCTGACTAATACACGGACCAAAAGAGAATTTAGGATTGGGTAAAAAGTCCTCCACTGGCAATAACCTATTTCCTCCCTGACAAAGAATGTACATTTATGGACTTTTGCCCACACACCAGGAATACAACTGTCAATTTAAACTGGGGGAAGAAATATGAGTGTCCAAGTAACTATCTCCAGACACTGAAAAGCAGAGCCCCTTTTCTTGGGCTTGACATATCACTGTCAAAGCTAAGACAATGCAAAGCAGATTCAGGTTGTCTCAAACACTTTATGGCTACACACTGTGCCAATGGACCTTCAAAAAATCTCATCTCAAAGGTAAAGCCCCAGAGCATCACATATTTGGAGAAGAATAAATATGGATGGAATTCTCCTCTGGGATATCTCACAAAAACCACAGACCTTCATTTGTAACACATTCTCTGAATGCTCAAGTTAAAGGCATCCTCTTCCATGCTCTCATGGAGGTATATTTTTTTTCTGTACCAGACCAGGAGCTATTTGAGGGCAAAGATTGAGCCTTACTTATTTCTGATTCCACAGTATAAGCCTCTGGAAATACCAAATAAAGGTATGATCAATAAACAATCTATAAGTCTTCTAAACCCCTCCCAAAACTCAAATTCTTTCAATAATTTGGTTCCAGCATTTTATTGTTTAGATTCCTCTACTGATGGGGAACTCACTATGAGACAGACCATATCCTTACTGACAGCTTTCATTTTTCTTTATCCTGAGCTAAAATGTACTACCCCTATAGCTTTCAGTAGTTTGTCCAAGCTATATATTCTCTGTATAATAAGTTCTTAAAAGAGATGGGAAGGTAACAACTTCCAGAGAATTCTTCAAGCCAGTCAGAAACCATATCAAAGAGACATAATCATCTCCAAGAAGAAGGCTTTATTCTCTACAGTACAATATCATGCACTGGGAAGGTAAAAGTCAACTCCTTTCTTTTTAAAGAAACTTAAGCTTACCGGTGTTTTAGATGCAGAAAAAGAAAGCACATTTATGAAATCTGCCAACAAAAGGGAGAGGTAGCTGGTCAATAGAAGTAGTAAAGAAATTAGAGTCCAAGACTTAGTCCAATATCACCTCCACCAATGATATCTCTGAAACCTGGGCAGGAAGCTTAATTTTTTTCAGGTATGATAGAAAAGAGCATGATATGATAGAAAGGACATGTCGGTGCTAGGAATATTCTAATTCATTTTTTTCTTTTTTAAAAAAGATGACTGGTAAGGGGATCTTAACCCTTGACTTAATGTTGCTTGGTGGTATCAGCACCACTCTCTCCCAAGTGAGCCATGGGCTGGCCCAGAATATGCAAATTCAAAACACTGATTTACTACTTACTGGCTTACTAGGCTTGAACAAGTTATTAACTTCTATAAACCTCTGTTTCCTCATCTTTAAAATATGCATAATATCTGTTTACAACAGCCAAGATACGGAACCACCTAAATGTCCATTGATGGACGAATGGATAAGGAAAATGTGGTATATACATACCATAGAATATTACTCTGCCATAAAAAAAAAAGAATGAAATTCTCCCACTTGCAACTACACAGATGAGCCTGGAGAAACTTATGCTGAGTGAAATAAGCAAAGCACAGAGGGATAAATACTGCATGTTCTCACTCATAAGTGGGAGCTAAGAGAGAAAGTAGGAAGGAAAGAAAGACCACAGTGGTGTGTTGGACTTGCAGAGGGAGAGAGCATACCTAGGGATACAAAGTGGAGTGAGGGAAAGGGGGATGGGGAGGGGAATCAGGGATAATTGGGTGGGGGACACAGGGTATAACTGCAATTTGCAGTAATGGGCATACCGCCTGTATGGATCTGGTCATCACATCTTGGGCAAGTAACAATCAGCTTTGTATTTCATGAATATTCATAACCAATAAAAAATACTAAGAAAATAAATAAATGAATGAATAAATTAAATTAAATATGCATAATAAACCCTCCTTCACAATAAGATAATGTTCTTGAAAGTGCTTCGTACAAAGTAAAGCACAACACAGATTTAGCTACAATCACTATTACTATATTGAAGAACAGAATTTTGATGAGCTGGAGTAATGGGCTGAAATGATAAAAATGGGATTAAATGAAGATAGCTAAAAAGTTCTACATTTCCAGTTCAATGCAAGCTTATGTAAATATATAGCAGAGATTTCAGTTGCCCACAAACTTACTAGGAGTAAACAATAAAACAGGCATCCTAAAAAACAAAACAAGAATAAAATTCATTTGTGTTCAGTTTGAAAGAGTCCCACTCTCTCCATAGTGGTCAGATCTCAAATGAAACATCTAGTACTGAACATCACATTTTAAGGAAATACAGACAAACTAGGAATTATTCAAGAGAGTGAGCAGGATAAGGAAAGAGTTGGGATGTAGAAATAGTTAAGGACCTAGACGTCTGACTCTAGCAGATGGGCTGAAGGGCTTCCCTGAGGCAGAACAAACAGTACTAGGATCAACTGTTACAAGATACGGCGTGGTAAGGTTCAGCCAAACCCAGAAGAATTTTCCAGCAAACAGAAGCGTCCAGCATTACACGGGGTCAGACTCAGAGCTCAGCATCACAAATGACTCTTAAATGGAGGCAGTTCTGCGTGTTGGTATTGCCCTATCCTCTAACAGCTCCACTACCCATCGTCCCAAAGGCCCTGTCCCTCTGATGGGACCCACCACTCCATACCTGTCCAGGTAGTTCACAATATTTGGGTTCTTGTTTTCCCTCATGACCAGGATCTCATTAATAATCAACTCTTTCTTTGGCTGCTGCTGAAGATTCATCTGCTTAATGGCCACCTGAAATCAGAGTACATTCAATGTGCAACCAGAATCATTCAACATTCCCTGAGCATCTGCTAAGTACCAAAACTTAAGTACTAAGGAAACAAAGATGAATAGGATACAATCTTAGCCTTCAGTAATTCACAATTTATCAATGTAGACCAGTGGTTCTTAAAGTGAGGTCCCTGAGTCAGCAGCATCAACATCATCTAAGAACTCATTGGAAACAAAAATTTTCAGGCCCTACCCCAAACCTACTGAATCAGAAACTCTGTGTTTTAATAAGCCCTTCAGGTCATTCTGATATACACCAAAGGTTACAGGATCAAACTTTAGTGTAGGAAAATACTTTTAAAAAATCACAATGTAAAAACAAGTTTATACATGCCACAGAAATATAAAATAAGGCAAATACTCTTTCAATCTGCCAATGTACAGAGATTTCATAAAGGGGAAGGTGATACTCTGAACCTGGTATAGAAAGATAAATCACAGTTGGCCAGGTTAAGCTTAGGGATGAGTCTCTAACATTTATGTGTAAAAAGATCAATAGGTTTTTTGTCTATAGAAATAAAACAAATTTCCACATAACACAAATATAAGGTACACTTTTGTTTTCAAGGCACTTTGCATCCATTTATTCTATGTATCAGGTACTATACAATGTGTTCTCAAATTTGCTAATTCATTTAATTCTCAGAGACACCTTGTGTGTTAAGTATTACTAACCTTTCAACAGATGAGAAGACTGTGCTTCGGAAAGAATATGTGACTTGTATACATAGCTATTCAGTAGCAAGGTCAGGGATGGAACCCTCAAAAGTGATGCCAATTTATCCTGCACACATAGATTACTTTTTCCCACAGTATACATTTGATAACTCTCGCCCCTGCTCAAAAACATAAATGGCTCCTGGTTGCCTAGAAATGTTCCTCAGCCCAACATTCAAAGTCCTCATGATCTGACCTATTACCTTACTTCCCACTGTATTCCTTCATACATTCCATGTTCTCCAGTCTCCCTGACTTTGTTCAGGATCTTCTCCCCATTTCAAATATCTTGCATCATTTCCATACATTCAAAAGCTACTTATGCTTTGTATCAGGCCAAAGGAAACCTCATTCTCCAAATCAAGTATACTTATTCTCTTCTTTAAAGCCCTATAAAATCATATTTATACCTCTCTATGGAACTTAGGACATGCTACCTTGCATGCCAATTAATTAGAAGTGATGTTTGTGTGTGTGTGTGTGTGTGTGTGTGTGTGTGTGTTTGAGAAGCTCAATTGAAAGCCCAGAATCCCCAGTGCCAAGCACAAGGGCTTGACACACACAGATGGTGCTCAACAAATGTTTATGAAAAGAAAGAGGGAAAGAGAAGTTAGTGAGTTGATAAGTACTTTGTTTTTAAACCACAAAAAATCAGCCATAGGCTACCATATCCCATAAGAGAATACTTTAAATTATTTGCTAAATGTTCATTCCCTAGAGATATTTTCCATTTTTCCTGCTCAGTGGACAAGAACATGAACATCTAATAGAATTAAACTGTCTTTCCAGAGCAGCAAGAAGTATAAAGAATGAATGATTCAAAATTTTATGTGAAAAACCTGACTCATTTCTTCAAGTCAAGTATGAGCAGCTTCTGCAGAAACCAAATTAATCATTAAGAATAGAAATGATTCTTTAAAACATTCTGACCACCTCCATTCCCTACCCCAAGTGAAAAAAAATTGCTTTGAAATGGAGTTAGCTATTAGGTTAGGATTTTGGCCTGGTTGTAGCTTTCTATGACAGTTGAGGATTAGTTTTTCCTAATGTTTGAAAAGCAACACGTTAATCTAAAGACATTAAGTATAGTAAGCTATTATAACACATATTGACTGGAGCCAGAAGAGCGCCTTTGGAGTTCCTCAGGCCATCCTGGAGGATGGGACAGTGCTTATGAACCTTACAGTGGTCACTGCTGGCAGCAGCAAGGAAGAAGAGAGGCAGGTAGAGGCTAACATGGAGCCTAGGGTAGGATACTGACAATCCTTTTCAATAGCTACTGACTAACTATAGCCCAAGCTAAATGCCCTTCACCTTATCAGACTCCACCTATTCAGGCTAACAGACAGCACTCCTGTAACAGAAGAACTGGACCTGAACTCTGAAGACCTAAGCTCTGGGAATGATTGTCACGCACTGGCCTTGACCAATCACAAGTTCTCTGAGCCTCAGTCTCTTCATCAATACATTAAGCATAATAATCTCAACTCTGATTCCCCTCCCCTCAGGATTGTTTTGATACTAAGATAGTGGCCAATGTATAAGTGAAGGATTTAAGTAATAAAGTAAGACAACAATGAAAATGGCAATCATAGTAATAATAGCATTTGATAAATACCTGGCACAGAGCAGCAAGAATGACAGCAGCAACATTCCCACCACTACAGTTTATTGAATGCCTACTGTATACTAGGCTCTGTGCTAGGCTCTCTATTTATATTATGTCAGTAAAAACTAACAATGACCCTGCCAAGTAAAAAATCATGATCTGTATCTTCAGGTAAGGAAATTGAAGCTAAGGCTTATAAGAAAATTACCTAAGGTCATAATCAATGTCCACAGGTCCATATGATTCTAAAAGCTTTTCTAGTCTGTTCTTTCTATTATATATATTCCCTCTAAAAACAGGCTTGAAAAATGATTGTTGGATCTGTAACTGGAAAATTTCCCAGCACTAACATGCTAATTTTCCTATATGTGACAGACAATAGCTCTGCTCTTCCCAGCTGGATAACTTCCAATAAGCACTCACTCACAAAGACTGAGAGCATCCTGCCAGCTCCACTAAAGATTTATACTCCCTGGGGCAGGAAATGAGGCCTTTCTGACCACACTACATTAGCTGATGGACTAGCTTCCATTCATAGTTTTGTAACCACAAGCCAGGCACACAATGAAATCAAATTTCTCTTTCCTGTGGCCAGCTTCTCAAACATGCAGCTTCCACGACTTCCAGGAATCACCCATTACCTTCCTGCCTCCCATCATGGGCTGCAAAGCCTAAGAGGCCAGTAACAAGATGAGAAGGGGCCCTAGTGCCTAAACTCATCTCTGCTGTGTCCTAGCTGCACTATATGCACAGGATTAGGAATCAAAGGATTCTAACCCAGTTCCTGCTAATCACTGATAGCACAACCCTTGAAAAAGTTATTTACACTCCCTGAGCCTCAAATTCCTCATCAGTAAAAAGGAAATAATGTTGCCTACCTCATACTGTTCTTTTTAGAATTGATATAATCTCCTCTTATTTATGCATCGAATTTACCATTTTTAAAATTGGCATGATAATACCATCCTTCCTTCCTCATTATTTTTAGTTTAAGGCAGATTCCTGTCAGCACTACAAGACTTTTATGTGTACACAATTGAAATTATGGCTGTTACATTAATGTATGATTTTAATGTCTGAGTGCTTGCACAGGACTGAATCTTTCACATAGTTCTTAGCACAAGGTACAGCATAAAGCAAATGCTCAGGAAAAGCTTTGTGGAATAAATAAAAATGTATATGAATAAAAATGAATAAATATGTAGTTCTTAAAGTTAATGAAGTATTTTCATAAGCACTGCTTTACTGAGTTCTTTCAACACTTTTGTGAAGTATATATTACCATACAAATTTTATAAATAAATAAAATTCAGGCTCAGAGAAGCCAAATGACTTGCCCGAGGTTGTATAAGCAGCTAAAGGTAAGCATCTAGGTCTTTGGATTCTCATCTTAAAGAACAGTGAGTAAATCGTTAACCATGATAATGATTTAAAAAGTTGACTTATGCTAGGGGGAGCCTCAGTATTTGGCTTTTAACACTTGTAAAAGACTCCCAAGAGCCCACTGAGATATTTGCTATCCCTATTAACCATGACTTTTACAGTATACCAGGGTATTTCAACCACCAAAAATATATAAGCAGCTTCCTAGCAGCTTCCCTAGGAAGAGAAGCCCAACTCTATTTTCACTGGAAGAGGAGGTGTCTCTCTCAACCTCTGAGTCCCAGTATTCTTTGAACTAAGAACTTCTCCCAGTCAGCTGCCATCCACAGCCCACCTGCTCTGCAACCAAAGAGTAGAATACGAGGAAACCCCAAGTACTCTATATTCCCCTCATGGCTTCCTTCTGCTGAAAACAAGACCTTGGGCCAGCAGGCTTTAGCAATAAAGTCAGAGTTCTCCTGGCTTAACTAAATGAGAGTGACAAAGAGGTGCCTCCAAATAAATGAGGACTTCAGTGTCCAGTGGAATCCTGGGCACAGTAATGGCAGGACTGCTAGATAAGGAGTCAAAAGACAATGGGTTTAAATCTCTTCTATATCAGATTTCTCTCCCAAGCATCAAATCTGTATAAGTAACTGTCCACTAATCAGTTCTACAAGAAAGTCTCTCAGGCAGTATCCAACCTCTTCATAACTATACCTCTACCTTTTTCTTTTTCCTTGAATAATATTACTCACTTCTACATCACCCTTACATTCAATCACCAAACCTCACAAATCTAACTGCTAAGTATCTCTCTCTCAAATCCATCCATTTCTCTCCATCTATATTGTGCTATATCACCTTAGTCCAAACCATCATCTCTCACCTGAAATTATACAATAACCTCCTGACTCACCTGGTCCACTCTCACTCCCTCCATTCTGTTCTCCACACCATAGCTGCAGTGACTTTTCCAAAATCTATTTAAGTTTCATCATGTTAGTCTACTATTTGGTTCCAGTCTGCTATAGTGAGAAACCAGAAGTGTCCCTATTGAGCTAAGAAGGGCTAAACATTAATCCAAAATAAAAAGAAACAGTAGAACCAAAGGAATAACAGTTGGTGGTGGATACTCACCTCCTGTCCTGTGGCTACATCCATTGCAGTGTACACAGTGCCTGAAGCACTGAACAGCAGGTAAGGGAGAGAGAAGGAAAAAAACACAGGTGTTCAATAAAGTGATATATAAAGTCAAAGGCAGCTTTACACACAATCTGGCAGCATAAATGTTCATAATAATAACAGCAAAAATAATCCTCCCCTGCTCCCCGGCAGCCCTCCCATTCTCATATTTGAGAGTATGGGGCAGTAAAGAGAAGGTAGGCTCTAGTAGCCAACAGACCTGAGTCCTAATGTTGAGCTTCTAACTAGTGTCTACAGTCATATGGTCTCAAGGAAGTTATTTAACTTCTCTTAGCTTCACTTTTCTCATTTGTGAAGTGAATATGAGTATATAAGAGAATTTAAATGAATTAGTTCATGTAAAGCACTTAGCCAAGTACCTAAAATATAACAGGTGTTCAATATATACTAGTTTCCTGCTCCTGCTTGCTCCTCTCCTCTCCTCCACCAACCTTGGCAAGTTGCTTTAATTTCTTGTGGCTTCAAACTCTTCTCTGTAAACAGAGATAAGATCAGATCTGTGATTTTCAACTGGGGGTGAAGGGAAAGGGTCCCTAGAGAGAATTTCAGAATGAGATTGGGGAGGGGTGGGAGATGGCTCATATATTTATCAAAAAAAAGATACAAAGTTCTGGGGTGTCAGCAATGTTCTCTTTCTTAAACTGGGTACTGGTTACATTGGTGTGTTTACTTTTTGAAAATTCATTGAGTTGTAAACCTACATATGTTATCTTCAATTAAAATTTACATTATAAAACTATAACTACTAAAAAAACTATAAAAACTTAAAGAACCACACTAAATAATCTAAAATAATCTCAAAGTGCCCTTCTCACTCTGATATATACCATGACCCTTTAAAACCAGTGTTTTTCAATCATTTATCCTGCCAAGAGATATGTGAATTTGATTTTTTGTAGTTTACATTATATGAAAAGTTTTGTTTTCATTTTTTCAAACATAAAATGATATTAAATATACTTTTTAAAACACATATGCTCCCAGAAAATCTGATACTATTTCTATTACACCCCCAAAGTAGAAGGACCTCGTCAGACACCTATACGTGTATGTATGTTTATGTACATTCACACATACAGAGAGAAAGGAGGGGAGGAGAGAGAAGTGGGGGGAAGAAATGCTAGACAAAATGCTAGGAAAGTAATGTTTATTTGAAGTAACTAAAACCCTCATTTTATGCCTACAACCATGCTATGGGTTGAATTGTGCCCCCAAAGATTCATGTATTAATCTCCACTGTAACAGTGTTGAGGGTGGGAAATCCTATTGTGGTAATTGAAAGGTAGTGCCTTTAATAGGTGATTAGACCGTGAGGGACATGTCCTAGTGAATGGAATGATCCATTATGGAGTAATAAGTTGATGGTTTGATGGGTAGTAATGAGCATGGTTCTGATGGCTTTATAAGGAAAGTGAGTGAACAGGTTAGCTCTCTGTCTTGTTCAGCCATTCTCGCCATGTGATACCCTGTGTCACTGTACAGCCACCACCAAGACGGCCCTCACCAGATGTGTCCCCTGAACTGTGGACATCCTAGCCTCCGAAACTGGAAGAAATAAGTTCTATTTCTTTATAAACTACCCAGTTTCAGGTACTCTGTTATAAGCAACAGAAACAGAGTAATACAAACCATGGACCCTATATATTTATAGGTGAGTCATTTGCAACACATATTTGCAACTGTACATGCCATATGTCAAGTACATATGGATATAATTTGAAGAAATTTAAAATTCTGATCTATTGCAAGAATGCATTCTAGGCAAGCCCTGAGGTTATGCTTCCCAGAGAAGTCAGGTCAAATGAGAAGGAAAAATCACTTGTAAGTATGCCTTGCAGTTAGAAATTATGGTCACCAGCTCACTAACCACACTCTTTAATTGGGACCCTGGCTACATGCCCATACACTGTGACCAGAAGATATTGGCCATCAAATAAGGACTGGACTATTTGCATTGCCAGTTATTTCTTCACAGCCTGATCATACCACTCCTAGCCATCTTCTGTCACAAAGTTGGTGTCTATCTTCCTATCCCCACCCCTCCCTGATCCTACCAGATATACCATTCTTAAAGGACAAACATTCCTAAGCGTCAGTGGACTGAATATTTTGGGACCATGTCCTTTGAGAACAAAGCTCTAGAAAGCTACTCAGGTCCACTGGTATAGAATACATGTATGATTAGACATATGAATGCTGGGTCCAAAAAAATAATGATCTTCAGGACTTAAAGGGCAAAAAAAAAAAAAAAGCAAGCAAAATTATAATAGAACCAATTTATCATTGATGTGGCATTTATATTTTTTAAATTATGGAATGTGGAAACATCAGCACAGGTGCTTAATAAATATTTCATTCTTCCCTTAGTACTAACAGACCTGTCAAGTAAACAAGGAAATAACATTTTGCAGATGTTGCCTACTTACAGACCTCATACATCTGTAATTAAAAAAAAAAAAAAATCATAGAAGTTTTGGAGATAATAGGCTCTCAGTCCATGAATTCTCTTCCTTAAATTTACAGATGAAGAAACTCAAGTCCAGAGAAGGGACCTGATTTGTCTATACTTGTTCATGTACCTTTCTGCTATATTCTTAATATCTAAATTTAACTACCTAAAAGGAATACCATCCCACATTACTCTGGGTCAAGCAAAATAATTTCTTCGCAAGGTGTTAATTCCCTTACACCACTTCAGACTCACAAAAGCATTTCTAATAGGAAAAACACTGGAACTAGGAAAAATGAGATCCACTCAAACCCAGAGTTGTTTTGAGGATTACATTAAACAGATGTAAATAACAGGTGTAAAATGTAGAATGCTGTACAATTATAACATCACTATATTATGTAATCTTTTATTTTATTTTCAGAAGTTCTTGGGTACATAAGAAAGAAAACTGAAACAAAATTTCATTGACTTCATTAGCAACAATGCATTCATTCCACTAACACTGACAGCCTACTATAAGGCATTTTTATTTTTCAGTTTCTTTTAAATTTTAGCTTTTTTTAGTAGGGCTGTAGAAATCTCATTATTTTTAGTTTTTATACAGAGGTATAACTTAAAGTAATTTGCACAAATCTTAAGTGTACAACTTGATGATTTTTTATGTATATATACATCCATGTGTTCACTGACATCACCCTGAAGGTTCCCTCATGCCTCTTCCCACTCAACACTCTCCTCTCAGAAGTAACCACTACTCTGATTTCTATTACCACATACTAATTTTGCCTGATGTTGAACTTCATATAAATAGAATCATACAGTATTTGCTCTTTTTTTTTCTTTCCTTTTCTTTTTTTTTTTTTTTTTGGCTGCTAGCCAGTATTGGGATATCTGTTCATGTCTAGCATTTTTTGCTTAAAATAATGGCCAAACACTTTTAAAAGACTTATCACAGTACATTGTAATTCTTTGTTTGCCCATCTCCTGCTGTTGACTTGAGGTCCCTGAAGGCAGAGACTGTATCTGATTCATAGCTGTACTCACAATAGGAACTCAGTTAAGATTTGCTGAGTTCAGTATACTGAGTGCAGCACACAAGATGCAGAGAAAAAAACAGAGAGCAGGAGTCGTGAATGCTGGCATTCACCTGGAAAAATAGGTCCCATTACACTAGCAGAAGGGTCTGTAGTTCTGGGTCCTCCATTTTTTTCATATTAGTGCCGATAGGTATCAGCACTAGGGCAAACAGGGTTCATCTGGAAAAGCAGAGCTGTAATTTGGGAAGCTGATTTTGCGCTATGAAAATAAATGGCTCCCTCTCTCACTGCAGGGGTATTTTTAGCAACATGGTTAGCTAATGGCACATCTGTCATATTAAGCACAATTCTGCCAAACCTAAAGTGAGCCCAACATAATACTTCTGGATGGGTGAGGGGTAAGGTGGAGAAAGAAGAAAAAGGTTTATGAGAGGCAAAACAAAAGTAAAATCATATATACTAGCACACACAATTTCAAGTCATTTCTCCAGAGAAAGAAAATGCCCTACTAACCCTTGTCCAATCTTCTCAAATCGTGTATATTTCTTCTTAGGATCACCCACACTCACTATGCTCCCTTTGAAAGAAACAGAGAACATGAATCATTTTTTTCCCAGATCAAGACACAAAACAGGCCCCAGTTCCCCTAGTCCCTGCAGTCAGCAAGGATTAAAGAACTAGCTCCAATTCCCAAAAAGCATACTAAGCAGGCCCTTAGCTTCTCCCCCATAAGTCCCAACCAAAAGTTTCATCTCCTTGACTGCTTTTATTCACAGTAATTAATTCCCTTTCTTAAACTCCTAAAAGCCATTCATTCATTTTTTAAAGTTCAGTCGTTCAATAAATATTTACTCATTTACTATGTACCAAGCCATACATTGAGCACTAGGAATAAAGAGAGAGATGAGACAGTTTCATCTTTTGATATACTGTTGAGATATACTCCCTGCTCTCAAAGAACTCAATCTCAGTATGGACACAGACAAGTAAGCATAAACTTCCACGAAAATATAATTGCTGTGATAAATTCCAAAGAGGTACAGAAAGAGGCACAAAAAAACAGACTGGAAAGTCTTTAGAAAGGTGATAATCTGGGTTGATTTTTACAGGATAAGTAGAAGTTAGGCAGGGAGAGAAAGGATGGAAAAGAATTACAGAGAAAATAGAGAAAAGAAAGTACAAAGATGGAGAGGTATGAGAGAGCTCACCCAGTTTCACAACTTGTATTCTAGAGATGGGGAAACTGAGACCCACAGAAGGGAAGTTACTTCTCCAAGGTCACATGGCAAATTGGTGTCACAGTTAAGATCAGAAGTTTGGTTTTTAGTCACCCAGTCCAATGTGCTTTCTACTAATACCGATTACTAGAATTTGGTACTTTTCATATACATTATCTCATCTGACTTATAAATGAGACAGGTATTAACATCCCTGTTTAAAAGATGAAAAAAAAAGAGGCTCAGAGAACAGTAGGAAATTGCCCAAGACATAAGTCAGTGGCAGGGCTGGAGCTTCAACCCAAGTGTCATAACTCCCAGGCCAGTCTGTTTTCCGTAATTCCAAGTATTACTGTTTTAAAAAAAAAATCTGGTTTAGGGAACAAGACTACACACAGAAGTAAATAGTTGGCTAGGTGAGTGGTTTTTCTTACTTCATCATTTTATGAGGGCTCTGGGTAAGCACAATTTTTAAAAAGTGAAAATTTTTTAAAAAGTCAAACAAGAATTATCAAGAAGTAGAGGGCTGCTAAACTAAAGACTCAAAATCCTCGCCTTTGGAAAACAATGCCAGTTTGCAGATTTGGCCAAATCAGTCACATCAAATCCTTTTTGGAAGTAAATAGGTATAGTAAATAAATTAAAGTGCTTGTCAAATGATTTTTTTTAAGCCCACAGATCAACCTCGTCCTTTCTTCTGCAGTTTACTGAAACACAGATGCAAGCTACAATAATATACCCCCATTTAGTCTGCTAAAGAAAGTTTCCACCTGACAGCAAGAGGCAGCATGCTCTACCTACAGGAGCACAAACTTGTGTTCTGACCTCAACCTTGTCACTTTTTAGCTGTGTGATTTTGGGTAAGGTATTTAGTCTCCCTGAGCCTCAACTACCTGAACTACAAAAATGAGGATAATAATGCCGGTCTTCACAGGGTTAATGTGAGAATTAAGTGGGAAAAAAAATCAAGAAAATATCTTGCTTGTCATTTGGTACATAATACAGGTTCACAAAATGTTAGTGTCCCTTCTCTCTTTTCGTGAGAGGTGGCAGATCTGTCTTCCTAGTCAAAGGCAAATATCAATAATCAATCACACACACACAAAAATCAATCACAGCACTCTTTCCCACCAGGTACAGACAAAGCCTCAATCTTTCTCAACACAATGCTTTAGACTATGCAGTAGATAAAAGCTATTTGTCATCTCCAAAACCCATGCCTAGGGGAGAGAAGTTCCTTGCCCTTGAGGTGAGCTGTCCATACTCTCTCCCATCACATCCCCATCCTAACATGATATCCAATCAGGATTGGTGAGACAGGGAAGGGAGGTGCATGGGCAGAGTGAAGAGAAACAGTCTGTGGCTAAGGTATCAAGCATGGCCAGCCAGCCACACGGATCAAGCCTAGGACCAGGATCTTTATAGCAGCAAAATTCCATCTCTGTGCTTGACCAGTCATAGACCAAAGGAAGGTTCAGAAAGCTACACAGTTCTTACGTAATTTCTCCAAGATCTCCTCATCAGACATTTTGGGCTTCTTCTTTTGCTTCTCAGTATTCCGGGTCAAAGCATCTGATGGAGTGGTGTTCTCAGTAGGTGAAATGGGAGATGTAGCCACGTCCCGAGTTGGAGTAATAGGGAGTGGTTCAATCACGGACCGTGTGCGTACCTGCATTGTTGGTGCAAAATTTTGGCAAAGCCAGCCTTTGTTAGCATAGGGAACCCCTCTTAGATATAGGGTTAGAACATCCACAGAACAAATCCCAAAAAACTCATCCTTTCTCCTGTGTCAAAATCTATATTACTCTTCATCTGCACCCAGGTCCATCGTCTCTGGGTAAAATGCCCTTCCTTGTTCTCACTGTACACAATGGGACTGAGAGTCTCAGTTCTCAAAATATTAAATAGAGGCTAGACAACACTCAACAGAAATTATTTAGGGGAGATTCTATCATTAGATGGGAATCCCCTTCATCTGTAACACTTTATGCTTTCCCAAGCTGAAATGAATATTGTATATTTCCATAGCACTTTGCACTGCTAATGTAACACTTAACTTTATCCTCTGAGTTACTCCCTCTTTAAATCCTGAACCCTTGCAGAAAAAGAACTACCCTTCTTCTTCAAGATGCAATACGTAGTGATTTAAAACACAGACTCTGGAACCTGACTGCTTGTGCTTAAATCCCAACTCTTATTCTTACCATCTGTATGACTTTGGGCAGGTTACTTAACTTCTCTGTGCTTCAGTTTCCTCATCTGTAAAATGGTGATAATAATGACATCTATCTTATAGGGTTGTTGTAGGAATAAATTGATTAATATGTGTGAAATGATTAGAATCATGCCCAGCAGATATCAAGCACTCAAATTTTACCTTTTAAAAATATTGCATTTCCTATTCATTCAATTACTTAACATTTATTGAGAATCTACTCTTTGCCTCATCCTGTACAAAACGCTGCCCCTATCCTCTCATTCTTGTGAAGGAGGTGAGAAAGTCATAGCTACAAGGCAGAAAAGCACAAATGTTATAAGAAATGAGCAAACTAGGGCCGGCCCGGTGGCGCACTGGAGAGTGCGCTGCTTGGGAGCACGGTGGCGCTCCCGCTGAGGGTTCGGATCCCATGTGGAGACCGGTTCCCGCTCACTGGCTGAGCGCGGTGCGGGTGCAACACCAAGGGTTGCGATCCCATTGCCGGTCCCCAGTATGGGTGTGACACCAAGGGTTGTGATCCCGTTACCGGTCAGTAAAAAAAGACAAAAAGGAAAAAAAAAAAAAAAAAGAAATGAGCAAACTATATTCCACTGAGGTTCAGAAGAAGCGATCACAGTTTTATTTCCTTTCCCCAGGAGATGCTTCAAGGTATTTATCAGATTTTTATCATAAAACTATCACAATTATCTTTTGGATGGTCTATAAGCTCTATAAGGACGGGGAATGTGTCATTCATCCCTGAGTTTCTCCATCTAACAAAAAGTAAGCATTCAAGTAAATATTTGATGGAATCAATGAATAAATAAATGGAATCCTTCAGCTGGATCTTAATGAATAGACAAGACTTTTAATAGGTTGAAATGGGAGAGAACTTTCCATGTAATGGGAACAGCAATGAGAGATCAGAGACTATGACTTCTTTCTTGACTACTCTAGCATAATGATTTCTCGATTTTCTATTCTTGTACCTGTAGACAAACTATACAACATGCACCTAAACCTATACTTTTGTGCCTTGTCTTCCTCCTTTGCTTCTCCTGATATGATTCCTTGAAAACAGAAACTCTGCCTTTTCCTTTTCTAATATTCTTCTTCTCTGGCTCCTAGCACCATTCTGCACACATAAAAAATGCCACTGTTCTATGATGGAAAGCAACCTGGACTTGGTTAATTACCTGCTTTCAAATCCTGGCTGTTTTGCTTACTAAGAGACTTTGAGTAGATCAATTTACCTATCCAAATCTCAGCTGCTGCTTCTATAAATTAGGAATTAACAATACCCGTTTAGAAAGAAATGCTATGAAGGCCAAATTTATCAATCCATCCATTCATTCAATATTTATTGCCCTCTATTACCAGCCAAGAACTATGTTAAGCACTGAAAATACATATATATGGATTTTTTCTACTTTTGAAGAGTTTAGTGGGGAAAAAAATGTTTTAAATCAACGTGCTTACAAATTTAAAATGGCCATATTAATGTGAGATATTTCAATATCTCTCCAATTTTGAAGCCCATTTTTCTTTAAAGTGACTTTATGACCTTTAAGGAAAAGAAGATTCCACAGATCCTAAGTTTGCATCCTTACAAGTCATCTAATTCCCTTGAATTTCCTCCACAGATAGAATGACTATCTCCCATAAACATTCCACCAACTTCTGCTTGAAGACCTCTCTGAATACTCTATTCCAGAGGCAGTCTTTTTTTTTCCCATTATCACAGAGTTTAAGTCCTAGATGGTTCTTTCATTACAGAGCACTCATCATAATAAAAATACTACACAAACACTAGTAGAGTATCATCTGATAGTAGGTCAGTGCTCAATGATACTAAATCAAGGAAAAGGCATAGGGACCAGATTGTTCAAAGCAAGGGTAGAAGAACTGTGGCTATTCTGAGATGCAAGAACCTCAAAGGAAGTTAAATAGAAATCACTGCCAATATCCGGCATTGAAATGTACTACTGATGTCCAGCATATTAATAGCACTAATGTATTTATAAATTCTCTTGGGTCTTTCAATATCATCAATGATGCTCTAAAAGGCTGAACGCTGCACATTTAACAGAGAGGAAAAGATCTGTAGCAAGACAATTTGTTGCTTCCCAGGAGACTGGAATAGTTTATGTTAGTCCTGCAATAAGTAACATCAATTCTGTATATCTTCCTGTCCTATCTGGAGAGTTAGCTAAGTAAACCAGGGCTGGATTGGAATAAACACCAATTACCTAGGACACTTTAGGACTATCTGCAAACCAATGATAAATAAATTCACCACTTGTCTTTAATCATACAGAAAGTATCTTTAATCAAGGTGATTCAGTGATTGCACCAGCTCCAAAATATAAGGATCTCTACCAGAATATTAAACTTCTAGGCCTCAGCACCAACCCCTACTTGCCCCTCCTCACTCTAATAAATCACAAAGCATCCAGGTTTCCAAAGACTCACAGATTTTGTGTGCTCTGGGCGTGGAGCAATCACTGGAGGTGGGGTAGCATCATCATCATCATCTTCATCTTCTGAAACTGGTGGCACTGCAGGGGTCTCAGACACAGTCTTCACATTCTATGCAGGGAAGAAAAGCCAGATTCATGCAGTCCAGCTGACTCAAAACTTAAGCTATCAGGATCACCAGTCCCCCAGAAGAGACCTGATCCTGACACACCCTCTGAAACTCACATTAGCTTCCAAGCTCTCCACCTCTATGTCTAGTCTCAGGAACTTAGTCAGCTTCCCTCTTTTCTTTTAGCCATCACTATCTGCTCAGTCCCTTTGGGCTTCCTTCTCCCACCCAAAGCCTAACTGTGGAATGGGAAGCCAGCTTCCAGCTTCTCTACCTGCCTCCCCCCGTCCAACCCCTGAATGTAAGCTCGTAGTTCTTTCTCATTCTATGAATTTTACTCTCCACAATGAACAGATAATAAAGTACAGAAAAGGATCAAAAGTTTGGAATTTTTCAAAATTTATCATTACAATTCCTTACTCCTTCCTGATATGATAAATGAAAGTCTGAACAGGATTTTTCCCTCTCTTTTTCCTCCCTTTACCAAAACCTCCTGGACCCATTATATCATCAGGGCCCTCGTCTCAACCTGAAGATACAGAATAGGAACCCCTTGTCTAAAGAAGACAATGGGCTTCTCCTCAGAGTGGATACTATCTATTTCACTAAGCTTCTGCCTTGCCTTAGAATGAGACTTGCCAGTACACTAATTATAATCTGTGGCAACTTGATTTTCCCATGTAAACTGTAACAGAGCGGGCTAAGAGTGGCAGGTTTTAGGGCAGGTCCTAGCAAAAATTTCGTACCACTACTGTTTACCACACAGATTCAAGAGACAGACTGGCTCCAAAACAAGAGATTTTTGACAGAGATCAAATAATTCTATCATTTGATCAGCAAAAGACAATAGAGGCAATAGGGATCACTTAATATATATTGATATAATTCAACAGTTTCAGATATTTTTAGAACACCTACTTTGTGCTATGAAATTGTGATGGATACTATTAACATAAAGGTACAAAGATGAGAAAGATGGTCAAAGTCCTGAAAAAGATCCTGGTATAGGAGATACACAGAGGGTAAGTTGCCCTCCTGTCTGCCACCTGGGGCCTCCTAAGAGAGGAAAGCCAAGAATCAGAATGACAGGGGACAAACAGAAGAACTAAAAAATACTAGACTAGAGCTACCAAGTGTGAGAGACTGGCTTTTACCACATTTGACATACAAAGGCAAGGAAAACTGGCAATCCCATAGGTTCTAACAGGACCTCCAGTGCAGAACATAACTTAAAAACTGACAGTACAAGGCACATCTAAGCAACTAGCTGTGGTGCCCACAGGCAATGAATCTATCCTTTTGGACTGAAATTTCATCACTTGAGGAACGTCAAGGAAGAGGAGTGATATAATTTGAGGGGTGACCTTATGTCACTTTCAGTTCTAAAATTCAATAGAGGTTCTTTCCCTGTCAAAGCACGTATTTTGACATTTTTCTGCTCTAATTTCTTTTCTCCCCACTATTCCATTCAACAGAATTTAACTAGAAAAGTAAAAGGGGAAAGAAGTGGACTCAGCAGGCTCTTTACCACCAGGTGGTCCTGGGGCTCCCCTGATGTATACTATAAAAACTAAGTCGGTTTGCTTTCTGAAACTCTGTAGAGAAGGGGATTATATTACCTTCCTCAGTAACACATTTTGTTTTCCATAGGTGGTAGCTTTGGGCAGTGGTATTAACTACTGCTGAAGTCAAGAGATCTAAGTTTTTGTTCAGATTTTTACTTCTCAGCCCTGTCCTCGGGCAAAGCTATACCACTCTAAGACTCAGGTTTCTCATATATCAAATGAGGATAATGTTAGTAGCTCTCTGCCTACCTCAGAGGGCCAACTTGGAGGATGAAATGAAGTGATGTGGGTATAAGAACATTTTGAAAATGGTAAAGAGCTAAAAAGATGTAAGGAATTAATTAAATTTTTCTTATGTTTAATAATCACAAACCTCTATTTTAAACAAAAGCCAAAAACTCGAATTCACCATCCATCCATCCATCCATCCATCTACCCATTCACTCACTGTTTCCCAGGATCTATTCTAGGCTCTGGGGCTATATTGAAGAATAAAGTTTCTGGTCCTATGGCTTACATTCTAGAAGAGGAGTCAAAAACAATCACCAAAATGTCAGGTAGCAATAAGATAAACATATGGGAATAGAGATTAGTTGGGGGTGGAAAGCTACCACTTTAGATAGGATAGTCATGGGAAGGCCTCTCTAATGAGGTCACATAAACAGTGACCTGAATGAATTGAGGGAGCAAGTCATGGGGCTGTCTGGGAAAAGGCAGATGAAAGAAGTACAAAGACCCTAAGATGGGAACATGCTTGGTGTGTTCCCACAATCTCTAGTAGTTCTACCTATGAGGCTGTAATAAAGTGAGCAAGGAGAAGAGAGGAAAGAAACAAAGTCAGAAACTTAGCTAAGGACTAGATTATGTAAAGCCACAGAGACCATAATAAAATCTCTGGACTTTATACCTAGAATAAGAAGCCATTGAAGGACTGAGCAGAACAGTGATGTAATCTACACACTTTTTTCTTTTTAAAGTACCCTATTATAATGTTTTTCACAAATTAGAGAAGATTATTTATCATAGGCAATAAAATACAACTGCCTATTTTATAACAAAATAGGGAAAATTACCAAAAGAAATTTATACATATAACTTTGATGAACTCAAGGGTTACTTGTTCTCAGTTCTTTTAAAGTATAGTCTGATGGAGTACTCAAAGCTTTTAGAAGAGTACCAAACTTATTACTTCCTGAAATGTATGAACAGCATTATATTGCTCATATACTCACACATATATGATAACATACCATCTGCCTTGCCTTAAGTACAAAAATATTCATCACATGTAAGTTTTCTATTACAACTAGGCAAAAAATATTAAATATAATCAATGATACTATTTACTTTTTTGAAAACAAGATACTAGTACCAAAGCAGAGTAAAACACAAATGTTGCTAATTCAAGAATGCATATTTTTCTTTACTTCAGATAACTTCAACTGTTCAAGAATATTTTAAAGGCATTTCTATGTAAGTTCATCCACAAGTTTGGATTTTCTTCATTACAGAAATATATGAGCAGTACCCTTGATTATATCTTTGCAATTACAGCATTTCCTTAAAGAAGAAGTACATTCTTAACATACTACAAGATGACAACAAGGAATAAATACAATGGAAACTTCTTTGTCCATTCAAACTTTGTAAGTTCTTTCTTCTTCCAATTTCCTCAACTGTTCTTCCAGTGATAGACCTCAAAATCCTCTGTTGGAATATATTTCACAGACTTTTCCACTGATGTTATTTTTCATTTGTCTTTCCTTCTTTTCTCTTTCTCTTTTTCATCAGAAGTGTTGACAGAGTATCACTATTTTATAATTCTCTCCAGATAAGATTTTATTTTGAACTGTCTGTTACTTCAGGCAATACAGAATAATAGTTAAAAGGTGACATTCTGGAATCAAACAGCTTGGGTTCAAATCATGACTCTATTACTTACAAACTACGTATTTTGGGTAAGATATTAAACTCTTTGTCTCGATTTCTTCATTTGTAAAATGAAGCCAGTAATACTTACTTTAGTGATAGTGTGAAGTTAAGTGAGATAATCCATGCTAAATTCATTTTAAAAACACTCAAATATTAGCTATGATAATGATGTCAGCCAGATGATTAGAAAGTGCTCAATACAGGATTGCTAAATGAAAATGCTTTATCCAAAAGTAGGATGAACTGGAATGAAATCTAAACATCAGGATACTCAACAATTGAAGTAGTGGAGATCCAGGTTCAGCACCCCAAGTCCAAAATGCTCCAAAATCTGAAACTTTTTGAGCACCAACATGATGTTCAAAGGAAATACTCATTGGAGCATTTTAGATTTCAGATTTTTGGATTTGGGATGCTTGACCAATATAATGCAATTACTGCAAAATCTGAAAATCCAAAACCCAAAACACTTCCAGTCCCAAGCATTTCAGCTGAGGGATACTCAACCTGTAATGGGAACAGGATTACAGAAGAAGGGACCACAATGGTTAAGACTGTACCATTAATTGATTTTAACCATTAACCTACATTCCACAGTAGAAATCAGTGGTTCTAATGATTTTATACCCTATAAAAACTTGTTTGCTTTAAAAATCATCAACATGATCTAAACCAGCTCTAATTAGAGACAGGCCCATTAAAAAGCACCTTGAGAAGGCTCCAAGGTTCGACTAAGATGGTCGAGGACAAGTCTATACTCTAAAGCAATTTTGAGTGTCTGCTGCCTGATCAAATAAAAGTTTCAAAGTCAAGGAAAAGAGTGAAGAGGAAAATGACTAGGTAGCAGAACTGTAATTCAAGGCCTAGGCAGCTAGGAATGATATAATGCAAACAGACTTAAAAGAACCACTAAAATTTGACAACCTAACCCAGAGAGAAGATGATAGCCAGGGTGTACACCCTAAGCATTTTGTCCCAGTAGGAAGACTACCTTAGAACAAGGTCAACTTGACACTTTTCCTTGGGATAGAAAGACCAAGGAAGGCACCAGACTAAACAAAAAATTACTTCCCTATTGTATGAGAGCAGTGTGGTAAAATAGAAAATAACCCAGATCAGGATTCAGAAAATTCTCTCCACTCAACCCTCTGTTCTGTAGATTCCTGCCACGGCCCTCACTTAGTGGCACAATCTCTCACCTGTATCAGTCCTTTAGAAGTCTTCCTCACTGCTCTTTGGGCCTCCAGTCTTGTCCCCTCCAATGCTTCTTTCCTAACAGCCCAGAATAATCTGTCTTTCGTTTTTTTGTTTTTTTATTTTTAAAATATTATAAGACTGCCAGATATGGCAGAGAGAGAAGACTACAGGCAAATTCTTTCCTCAAAAAGCAACTATTGGGGTTGAGAGGGAAAATGGCGGCGGGTCTGGAGCACCCGTGTCGGGAAACAGCGCGATCCTGAG